AGCTGAAGTGCTTATAGGCAAAATTTAGGATCTGATTGTGCAGAGGGACCTTGACTTGTATGCATGGAAATCCTCCTCACTCAGATAAGGAGGGAGGACAGTGTACATTTTGGAGGGTCTTGGTTTAAAATTAGTTTGGGAAGAAGAATGAGCCTCATCATACCTAGGCCTACGTAAAGGATCCTATGGAGGATCATCAGAAAAATGGAAAACAACTACTACTTTTCTAGGGAGATCTGGGAACTATGGGGGGATTCCTTCTGCCACCTAAAGCTTTCTGAGGTATTCCCCTTTCCTTTCCTTTCCTTTCCTTTCCTTTCCTTTCCTTTCCTTTCCTTTCCTTTCCTTTCCATTCCATTCCATTCCATTCCCCTCTAAGTCATCACATCTCCAGTTGCACCACAGAGCAAAAACAGGTCTTTTAGTCTTGCCTTCATTTTAACTCTTCCACAAAGCTACTTCCGCCCCTGCATGAAAACTGAGGATGGAAAATACATTTAGCATTAGTGATGCTGGACTGAGACTGGCAGGACTTTACTACAAAGAGAAGGTAATCTAGAAGGACCGTCATCCAACACCATCTTTCCACCTTTTCAGGTGTGCCATTGTTTCAAAATCAGCCCATGATTGAGCTTCCAGCTTCCAAGCTAGCATGGCTGGAGCCCATCCTGCTGATGGCCATATTGCATTTATATCCCAACTTTTTTTCCTTTATCTATGTCATTTAGAAACAAAAAGTGCACAGGGCATGAAGGTGAACATTGGAAGAAGAGAAAGAGAAAGAGGGCAAGAGATGAAGTAAAAGGCAGCAGATAAAGTACAACAGTAAACAATATTTTTATAAATATATGCTAACATGCCTTTCAAGATTTTATTAAACACTTATATGGCATAAGTGTGCATTGATTTATTTCATTTAGTTTAAAGGAGACCCTCTTTCATAACTTGTCTTCCAACCAGAAAAAACAGAGGAAAGGAAGGTTTCCTTGCTACATTTTTATGAAGAGCATGATTCAACCAAAGTTAAGATCTTAAACCCCATTTATTTCCATGGTGGAAAAATAAGCATGTCTTTAGCACTCTGACTGAAATCCATGAGGTTTAGAAGGGCCTAACTATGGCTCTATTGTGCTCAAATAATTTTGGGTACTGAAATATGTTTTTACCATCTCTTGTAACATAGAGATATTATATTTAATCTTCATTACCCTTTGGAAATGAATCATATTTTAAATTGCTCCAGTTCACCACAGGGCCTCACCCCCTGCTACACATGACACACAAATGCATGCAAAAGAACCCCGGTTTTCTCTGTGTGTCTGCACACATCTGAATATTTTAAGGAAAGTAGCTTTATGAAGAGGCATTGGGTGGGGAGCACTCATAGAATCATGGAATAGTAGAGTTGGACGGGCCATGAAGGCCCTCGAGTCCAACCCCTGCTGCTGCAGGACACCACGTCACACCATCCCACTCAGGTGGCTGTCCAGTTTCTTCTGAATATCTCTAGTGTGGGAGAGGCCACCACTGACCCTTCTCCACTTCTTTTCTCCATGCAGCCTACCCTAGAAGCTGCTTCTCCATTAAAAAGGGGACACAATGTCCATGGCACACAATGTCCAATTAGCCCTGGAGCAGTTATACCTGTTTCCCCTAGCCTGGTGCCTTCCAGCTATTTTGGACTATAATTTTCATCACTATTAGCCATGCTGGCTGGAGCTGCTGAAAGTTGTCCATAGCATCTGCAAGGTACCAGGATGGGAAAGATTGGTTTTACAGAAAAGCACTCGGGCTACTAACAACAGCTGAAGCAAAAGCAGTCTCATTTTTTTCAACTGACTGACAGTCACTTTCTCATGGGGTTGACATAGGCAATCCCTTTAAATTATCTGCCTTGAAATGGAAAGTGGACCCACAGAATGAAGGCTGACTTAGAAGTCAAGGCACATGTGGGGCCAACGGGAAAATCTGGGTACATGCCATTTCTTAGGGGTTGATGGAGGCAGACTTATCTGCCCCCTAAGCAGAGAAAAAGAGCCAACATGCATGGACTCTGCGTCTGGCCACTAGCAATCTGCAAACCCAAGCATACTAACTGAATCACAGAATCCAAGAGCTGGAAGGTATCATTCTGGGTAATTTTCCTAGCACTGCTACATCATTTACTGGCTTTGTCCGTGATCTCTGTTTGGAGCAATGTAGAGCTGGTGTAGTGTGGTGGTTAGACGGTTGGACTGGGGACCTGGGCGCCCTGGGCTCTAGTCCCCACTCAGCCATGAAGTTCCCTGCTTGGCTTTGGATCGCTCACACACTCTCAAACCTACTCACAGGGTTGCTGTTCTGCAGATAAGATGGAGCTACGTAAGCCTTTCTGGGTTCCTCACAAGAGGAGAAAAGGTGGGATATAAGTGGAATACAATAACAATAATAATCAGTTGCAAAAGTAAACAAAATGAATGGGAAAGATTGCATGAAAAGCTCCATCTTTTCCAAATGTGCACACTCCTTCCCATAGTAATAATGTGAAAAGGAACATTAAAAATATGTGCTTTAAAAATGTTTAGGGGTATTTGGAGGGTTTTGTTGTTTAAAAGGGAACAGTTTTGTGAATGCATGTTTAATGAATTGCAAACAATTCTGGAAAGCACCTTGTCCTGCTCATATCTGGAGTTGCAAACCCAGCATATTCTCATGATTTGTAAGCCTGTATGACCCTGCTGTGCAGCCCAACTCATAGCAGAGGCTTTTATTTTAAAGAGCCCCTGACTTCTGCTCTGGCGTGGATGGAAATCTGGCTTCCCTCCCACAAGGACCCCCCACTCCCTAAATCATTCACCCAGCTGGCCTGCAATTATAAATCCCACTCTGGATTTTTCCCTCAAGGAAGCAGGGCTGCTTGCTTGCTTTCTCCTTGCACTGCCAATGTTCGTGCCACCAGTTGGAAAGCACGGTGTGAGGAAGCGGTGGCTGGGAATTAAGTGGGCTGGTGAGAAGGATGTTGTGCCATCAAGGAAGGCTAGAAGGAAGTAATGGAAGAATGGAGAAGGGGCCGGGCAAATTCCAACCACTGGATCGGCATGGAAAAGAAGAGGAGCTATTCCTAATACTTCGGGAAATAACTGCAGTTGCTTAGCCGAGGGGAACAAGGGCCAGGATGGACCCCTGCCTACCCTCTACTGAACTGAATGACAACACACATCAAAACTCAGGTACCTGCAAACCAATTTGAGATTAGGACAGATCCCTGCCTTGAGTTTTGGTACACAAGCAAAAAGATCCAGACAGGCTTAGCCGACTGATGATGCTAACAAGGATGCAGCAAATTTGTAGTGTCGGGCCTTTGGACCCCCTAGGCCACCCTTTCCCAACCTGGTGCCCTTGAGATGGGTTGGGCTGCAACTGCTGTCATTCCCAGCCCCATGACCACTGCAGTCCAGCACTGCAGTCCAGGAGGGCATGAGGCTGGAGAAGCCTGACTGGGGCTAAGACTGTCTATGATGGACGACAGCATCTCTCCAACACTCAAGCAGAGATTTCTCCTAGTTCTGTTCCCCGAAATTCTTCCGATTAGAAATACTGGGGAGTAACAGAAAGTTGATCTTCTGCACCCAAAGCAACACATTCCACCACTGAACTGTGGTTTCTTAAGACTTCAAAATTGAAAGAACCCAGAGGAAGAATCCACAGGTACACCTGCACACTCAAATGTCCATCTGCATGCCTTTCAGGCTGGATTCTAGCCCCAGCTAAGGTGCAGTGCTTCTGTGTTATTGTAAGGTGTAAGTATTTCGGATTGCGTGCACACAGACTTCTACGCGCTGCTGCGGCTAAGCATGTCAGTGCCACTTGGCATGGACAGGTCTCTGCTGAATAAGCCTGCCAGGACCTGCTGCCAATTCCCGTGAGCTCCTCGGCCCTTCCCACTGAAAATCTCTCCCAATTCCACCAGAACTATCACATCAAAGTCTGGCCCAGCCCTGCCTTCCCTGAAATTTGGCGGCAGTGCCGTGAATCGCCGGTGGAGAACCCTGGGCTGGTTTCAAGATAATGGCACCTTGGGTCATTCAAGGGACATTCTGTCACTCACACAGGAAGGAGGTGTTGTGTTGTCAGGCACAGTGGGGCTAGTGTCGAGGTCCCTGGGTTACTGAGACCAAAGAAGCAGCATATGCTGGGCCACATTATGTTTAAAGAGCATTGCGAGTTTTGTTTCTAACCCTCTCCCACACCCAAATTTATGGTTTGGGCAGATTTCATAACCCCTTGGCTTGTGGTCCTTTTCATAGCTGTCCAGTCAAGCTACAGAAAGCTTATCTGCCAAGAGGATCAGTAATCTCGCTTGCTTGCCTAATACTAAACAAAAAGTGAGATCGTAATAAACTCATGGAGCTAGAAGCTTAAAAGGTGTTGATATGGTGGGAAAGAAGAAATGTTTCCAAGAACTGGCAATCCTGCAGGCTGTGGACTGGAAGCACATTCATCTGGGGAAGCATCCCTTGGAGCATAAAACATTTCCAGGGAAGGAAAGGGTAAAAATAAACAGCATATAAATTCACACAGAGAGGACTAGCATGTTAGACCCCAGATACACTTATCAGTCTGTGAGGACCTCTTTGGAACCCTCCAAGAAAGAAGCCCTTTCTTGCCCTACAACTAAGCTATTTGGCTGGTTGTACAGCTGCCGGCTGCGCGGTGGTGTGGGAGCAGGGTTTCAGCCACAATTGCTGCTCAAAACCATCTTTCAATCAAATCACAAAGATGGTTTGTACCACTGCAGGCAAAATGCTTACGGAAGTTCGCCACATTGTCTGATGAATCAAGCACATTACAGTCTTGCTTTGGCATGCCTTTCCAATTTCAGCCCATTAGAGGTCTGCAAAATCTGCCCAGACTATGAAAGGATTGTAACATCCTTTCCTGTTTGCACTAGTTCCCCCAGGTAACTTCAACTAGCAAGCGGATGCACTGGGAAGATGAGCGTGGAGCTGACTGGTGCTTACCTTTGGTTTTAAAAGCAAAGTTACAGTACTTGCAGACATATGGCCTGACGTCTGTGTGCGTGCGAATGTGTTTCTTCAGCATGCTGGGTTTCTTGCAGCGAATTCCACACTCCTCACATACATACTTCCCTCGTCCACGGCCTCGCACATACACATACTCTTCGTTTGATTTGTACCTATGAGCAACAGGGTGTCATGGTAACAGAAAGAAACAATTCCCACCTTTAAGTAGTAACAAGTGTCCATTAAAGAAAAAGGGGAGAACACCCCAACATCTCAACATTGCATTGTTCATGGATACAGGACGATTTGTTTTGGCTAGTACTTTGCTAGATGATCGTCAAGGAGTCATCAGGCTTCATGCGCACTGGGGTGGGGGAACCTTCCCTCTATAACCACAACGCCTCCATGCTTCGCAGTGGGAAGAACCAGCCTCTCGTGTATCTGAAGGAGCTAGTGTGGGGCAGTCATCACAGTGTCAGGCCAGGACCAGGACCAGGACCAAGGTGGTCTGTCTCCAAAACCTCCTCTCAGAGGAGGCTAGACTCAGTGGGGCTCCTGCTCCATTGCAGCTTTTATTCTGAACTTCACAAGAGCTATCCACAGGGCTGAAGCTAGTTCGAGGTAGAGTTCAGCACCATGGCTAACTCCTATAATGCTCAGAAACCATGCTGATAATGTTGTGAAGATAAAGAAGTGAGGCTGGAGGAGAACCATGCATGCTACCCTGACCACCCTGATGGGAGGATAAACATGTGGTATACAAATAAATACACGGGTTGGCTTCTCGGACTGAATAGCGAACACCATGCAAGAACACATCTCTGTGCCCGCTGATATCACACACAGATCTCTCGCACTGATTCACTGACTTCCTTCTTCCTCCCAAGCATGTGAACACTTGCTATTTCTGATACTATTTGACCAAGATGCACTATGGATGCTTCCTACTTTAACAACCACATTATTTTCTCAGTAACACCCGGAGTTGGTGATCTGAAACCTGCAGCCAGAAATCCAAGGGAAGACATATCAAGGGAGGGGGAAAAGACATCTCATAAAGTTAAACAACATCAGCTTTGGGCAAAGCCAAGTCGCTGCAGCTTCCTTTCCCATTCATACATAGGCCAAGTCAACATTCTTTCATGCACAGTATATCTTGCCAGTTAGAATGAAAGGACACTGGACATTCATGTGTGTTGCTAGCAAAAAAGACAGAGGCCATTGCTTCCTACAGTTTTTCTTGTATCTAAAGCACAAAAGGCATTTATCTTGCCTTTACTCAACTGAAAAGCTCAACACAATATTGGCTAAGCTTTGAAATGATTTTTGCCTTTGTGACCATTTGAGCTTTTAACTGACATATACAGACCACTTTTCACCAAGTCCTGAAGCAAAGAATAAGCAATGTCATTACATCAGAAGCGATAACCATGAATCATAATAAAACTACACAGCAATAAACACATGTTAATAAACAGTTGAACTGAATACTCAGCTGCAGGAGTGGTTAACATCAGGTTCAGGGTCCAACATTCGCCTCTGGGGTTCCCCAGTTATCCATGACCTTTTCCCCAGATATCCAGGCCTAACACTCCCTACAACCATGAATTGTTTGGTGCTTTCCAGATGTGCTGTTTCCTCCGTGCTAAAAGTTTGCAATTCCTCTCCTAGGAATTGCTTATGAACACTGAGAGCTTAAACTGCAATACACTGGTATTTTTTGTACTTTTCCTGCACCCTGATTGCCTTCGGTCCCACCCATCATTGGAAGGGAGCCCTCGAGTCCCTCTCCAAAACTGCAGGTGAAAGATACTCCCCATTTGTGCCTGACTGTGTCCTAGCTGGGTCAGCTTTGGAGAAAGGCTTCGCGAAGGGATAATTCCTGAGAAGGGGACTAAACCCATGACTGTGCAGGCTTGTCCAATGGAAGTTGGCAATGAATGCCAGAGAGCAGCTGCTGCATCACTAAACACAAAACAAGCCAAGTACCCTTCAGAATTTGCATTGAGAAAAAGATGCCTCAAACATGATATTGAATTTTAAGTTTCTATGTGATGCATTTAGAAGAGTCCAGGAAGAGAATGACCAGAATGACCTGTTTTGAGCCGTCCAGAGACGTAGAGTGATTGGATGGCCTAGAAATATCCCAAATAAAATAAATAAATAAATGCCAGGGATGCTGGAGATGAGCAGAAATATATGGCTAGACGGACAGAGGCAACACTAACACTAAAGAATTTCAATATAGCCCAAGAATTGACACACACGAGTTCATTCTGTCCCTTGTAAAAGCACAATTTTCTCCAAAAGACATGCTCAAACAGGCTCAAATTTCCTTTGGTACATCCCCCCAAGCCACTGCTTTCTCACTGACCTATTTCTGTTAATCACTGGTCTTCCACCAGTGGGACAGGACCCAAAACTGGCCCACCTAAAGTGGGCAATCCCAGGGACATGCCACGTATTGTAAAAGGGAAAGTAAGAGTTAAAAAGAAGCATGGGTTCAGGCAGAGTAAGAGAGAACGGATTCCAATCAATTTAAGCATAGGTGCCAATCAGTGGAGCAGGATGAGTTTCAAAGAGGCCAAATTTGATTATTACTGTCTACATCAGAACTGGCCAAGTTGAGGGCCTTCAGGTGGCTTGGCCTACAACCCCCATCAGCCCTAGCCTGAAAGATGATTGGAGTTGTAGGCCAAAACAAAACACAAATTGCTTGTGGTGATATAGAGATTGGGACCTTTCAGAAATCCTTGTCCAAATTTCCATGGAGAGTTCTGAGTGATCATGCCTTCTAAAGATAAGATTCTTTGGAAATCTATTCTTTAACTTCTTCTGAATTTTATACAGAGTTCTCTGGAGGTACAGCTCACCAGAGCTTCAGGATGTCCTTGTCTTTCCTGCCAGCCCTCTTAGTTTTTATGCTGGATGTGGCAGGAGGTGGGCTCTGTCTTCAGCAGAGAGATACACTGGGCTGCCTCAGGATGCATGAAATGCTTCATACCTGTGCCAGCAGCCTCCCTGGTTTTTACACTGAACAGGAAGGAGGTGAAGTGCCTATTGTCAAAACATTGCCTAGCTAAGAAACCAGGTGGACAGGTGCCGGAAGGGTGGAACAGTCTCGCATTCCTCTGGCAGACCACTCACTCACCTTCATGGAATTCCTAGCCATCTAGAATGACCAGGTGTGCAGGAAAAAACCTGCATGCAACATTAGCAGAACACAGGGGGTTCAACCCCAATCCATTACATTGGCAACCATCACATCTAAATATGTATTCACCGATGCTGAAGATCTTACTGTATGGTAAGTTTTTTTACTATAAGGTACTTAATATATGGTACTTAAGAAGCACTAAAATCTTACTATAAGGTTGTAAAAAAAATTGAACAGGACCACCAGTAAAAGAGAATCTCTTCCTAGTCTTGAACTCAAAGACAACTAGAAGGCTTCCTACCCTACCTCTATCAGGTGGTCTGTTGCAAAATCGGAGCACGTGATACAGATCCCAGGGCGGCGACGCTGCAGCGGGACTACGCCAATGCCCTCTGAGCTGTCCCTCATGTGGATTATAGCATAAAGATGAGCAAGAGGAGCTGACACAGTTCCCTTGTTGCCTGTGTTTGGGATGGTTACTCCATGTGCCTGGAACCAAGAAAATATGCCCTCCAGTGTCTTAAGCTGTAACCTCAACCACAAGTGCTACTCACTGAACTTGGTGGGATTTAGGTCAGAGAAAACATGTTTAGGATCGTCCTCTGGAAAGGAGAGAGACATTAATTCAAGACCACAAAGATTTTTCCATCTGCTGTTGTCAAGTGTATCCACTTCCTTTCCTACAGTTCCTCCTGCCTACTGAGATTTTTTTTTTAGCAGACGCAGAACGAAGATCAGACTCAAGGGTCAGCTGTCATGACCGGGACTCATCTTCACAGGCAACTCTCCCCTACACAAGCTCCAATTCCTTCCCTCACTCCCTGGCTTGATGTTGCTTCAAAATGGGTTTTTGTTACTGATGGTGAGCTTTAGTCTTGTATTACCATCCTGAGAGCCAGGTGAAGGATGGGATAGAAATGCTTTTAATAGACAAACAAACAAACTAAGGCTCAAGCTACATGGCCCAAATGCTTTCTGCTGTGGTTTTGACCGGCCTCAGCATGAACGAAAATTCGGGATGTCCTGCTTTCTGCAGGGATGCTGAACTTCTTTCCCTCCAAGGGCTGAGCATCTCCATCGGCCATGCTGCTTCTGTCCTCTACTGACCTGAGGCTTCAGATGGTTCTCTCCATTCTCAGTCACTGTCCTCTCCTCAGTCTCCTCTCCCCACTTTCAGATCTACCATTCTCTGTTTCTGAATCTCATCCACCAGTTCTCAGAGTTCCCCCACTAACTCCACAGAAATGATCCCACCGTCCTCTACAGTGATTCCCAAGGGACACATGGGTTTGGCTCCAGCCATCCTACAAAGGGGCCACATGGCCCAAGGTCATACCTGATTCATCTTCTGGTCAGCATAAGTCTTGCATGTGGTTATTCATTAATCTGTTCCACTGTTTCCCAACATCTGGGATCTTTTAACATGCTTACGAACGTTCATATTTAAATATGCATTTTATGAACAGTCATCCTTCAATCTGTACTTCAGTGTCTTCTTCCACAAATCATGGATTCTTACACACAATTTACTCTGAAATATGCATGTTTATATGCAATCCAGACAAGACCGAGATGGTCTTAGTGAACGGTTCTTCTGACTGGATGTAGAGTGATTAACCTGTTCTAGATGGCACTGGTGTCCCCATGAAGAACGGGTTCATCATTTGGGGGTTCTCCTGGAATATGTTTTGTCAGGTGGGGTTCAGGTGGCCTCGGTGACATGGAGCACCTGCTACTGGCTTCAGTTGGTGGCTCAGTTATGCCCCTGTCTAGACTCGGACGTGCAAGACTCAGGAGTCTATGCCCTGGTAACTGGCCGGTTAGATTACCACCATGTGCTCTACATGGGGCGGCCTTTGGAGATGGCTTGTACGCTGACACTCGTGCAAAACAGGAGGGCCAAATTGACAGCAGGCATCAGAATATAAAACATGGATCCCATCCGACTTGCACTGGCTGCCTATACATTTCCAAGCAATTCAAAGTTACTGGTTTCAATTTACAAAGCCTCTCATG